TATATATATATATAACAACATTTTTTGTATTTCGTTTTTGGTTGATGATGAGTTCCTAAGTCGATTGTACATAATTTGTAGAGTGAAGATGGAGATATAATAGATTGTATCGATATCTACAAACAACATGCCTTTGATCATCCCGCTTTAAAGAACCACAAGATTCAGGTAAAAACAAATTCAAATTACTTACAAGTTAAATTTTGTTTTGAACAACCTAAGTACGGTACAGTTTTATAATATTTGCCCATATTACATTTATGCATGCAGATGAAACCGAGTATGGAGTTTGAGGCAAAGACAACCACTATTCAAAACAACCGTTTCGATGAACAGATAACATCTCAGATTTGGACCAAATCTGGAGACTGTCCGGATGGGACAATACCGGTTCGTAGGGTTAGCCGAGAAGACATAAGAAGAGCCTCTTCACCGTCTCGTTTTGGTAAAAAAGCTCGTCGTACGTATAGTTTTCTCGACAACGCACTTCAGCACAAGGGCAATTTCAATATAACTGCTGAAAACGTAAAATATCCACGCCCAATATCCATATCGGTACGTTGCATCATTGTCTTCAGTTTCTGAACTTTTTAAAGCTTATATCAAGTTCAAGCTACTTCCATAAAAAAGCTATTTCGTAAGAGCAAAAAGTGTTTTTCTTTATAACTAGAGATACTTATTGCTTGCTGATTATATAGGAGGCAGTCCTTGTCGCCCTAGGGTTCAATTATCTTGGCGCTAGATCCGATATAAATGTTTGGAATCCTCCATTGGTTGAGGCTAAAGATTATAGCTCTGGTCAGATATGGCTTCTTGCTGGACTCTCCGATGCATTTGAAAGCGTAGAAGCTGGTTGGGCGGTACGTACAATTTCTATCCCTAGAAGTGTATTATTATATCTTGTATACCAAGTAAATCATAAATCGATCGCCATAAACCTATTTCAGGTGAATCCAAACGTTTTTGGCGACTTAAGCACACGTCTCTTCATCTACTGGACTGTAAGTGACATCAGTAATTACACGGCTACTGAACTTATAACATCCTAGGGGTTTATAACTAGTCTTTCTATTTGGATTCGCAGAGCGATGGATACGGTCAAACAGGGTGCTTCAACCACTTATGCTCCGGTTTTGTGCAAATATCTCCCAAGATTGCGTTAGGTGCAGCAATAGAACCCGTTTCGCATGTCTCGCAAAAACAATATTACTTCACCGCCAGCATTATGATGGTAACGTTTTCGAGCACATATTACTAATCATCCTCCAAGATTCTTATTTTTGTATATGATTTGGTTAATGCCCCAAGAACTGGCGTTTAGGGAAATGTTTTAAACCTGACATGTATCCTCTCTAGTGTAAAAGGCCTAAATCATTAACGGTTTCTTGCAGGATCTAAACACAAGGAATTGGTGGCTGACTTGCGCAAACAACGTGATAGGTTATTGGCCCGCGTCACTCTTTGGCTACCTCAAACATAGCGCAACCGCTGTGCAGTGGGGTGGGGAAGTCCATAGCCCTAACTTGCGGAGGAAGCCACACACATTAACTTCAATGGGGAGTGGAAGAATGGCAGCTGACTCGTGGCAAAAAGCTTCTTACCACACAAACATGAGGATCAAGGACTATTCTTTGTTTGTAAAATACCCCAAGTATAAATCTGAGTACTCTGATGAAAAATACTGTTATTCTACAAATCTGGAGACAACGTTATTTTCAGAGCCGCACTTCTACTTTGGAGGACCTGGCCACAATTCTCGTTGTCCTTAATTAATCTCATGTTTGATTTTGTCAATGATTCATTCTCCTGTCTTTAGTAATCTTACATATGTACGTTGGAAATGAAAATTAAGATTCATATAGAGTTCTTCTCTCTAAAATATAAAATTATGAAAACATTAATATTCAATCTTCTTAAATACTCCCTCTGTCTCATTATAAGTGATGTTTTAGCCAATTTTTTTTGTTTCAGTATAAGTGATGTTTTCAATTTCCTATGCAAAAATTTAATGTACTTAATATTTTTTGACTAATTATATTCTACATTATATTTTCTTATTGGTTGAATATATATTAGTTAATAATGTTTTTATGGAAAATGGGTAAGTTATATGTTTTATTATTTAGTGTGCCAAAACCTTAAACATCACTTATAATGAAACAGAAGGAGTATTAATTAGTAGTATAAAAATATTGACAAATACTTTTATTTTGGGTAGTTCATTAATCTATAGTCATTTTATGTAATAATACTTTCTTCTTGGAATGTGAAATTTTAATTAAGAAAAGTAAATTAATATTTTTTGAGCAATTATATTTTACATCATATTTTCTTATTGGTTGAATTCATATTAGTTGATGTTTTTATAGAAAAATGGTAAGTTATATGTTTTATTATTTGGTGTGCCAAAACCTTCTTATAATGAAACAGAGGGAGTATCATTTAGAAACTGAACTAGTCAAAACATAAAATAATTGTCATTGTTGATTTACTGTATCTCGAGCAAATCTCCATCATTTCTCAAAAGGGAGAGATGATCTTAGTACATTTTTATGATATATATGGTCAATTCATATCATAAAGAATGAACTAAGAATATAAGAATAATATGGGTTTTTTATTCATATGCAGATTAGTTAATCTGAGTTAATCCATATCATAATGGTTAAACATATTTGGTCAATTGTTTTTTAAGAATGAACTAATTGTCCATCAAATATGAACATTCTTATTAATCTGTATAAATAAATTTAAAGTCCAAAAATAAGTGAGTAATATATTATAACTCTGGACACAAATCTGAATTAGACCAGACCAACCAAGCTGCCTTGATTGACATGCTAATCATTTTATTAATTCTTTTTTTGTTAAGTATATACTTATTAATTATCAAACAGAACCAAATATAACAAAGATGGTAACTTACTCTAAGACCATGGTATGAATTTTAGCCAGCTTTGGACAATTCATTGATGAGGAAGGAAGATAAAACAAAAGATATAATGATTCTTGTGTTGAATAGGGTTTCGAATTGAACATTATCATGATTGGTCAATGAAAAGAAAGAATCAACCGAATCAAAGAAAAAGTAGCCAAAAGGATTAAATACGATTAGCCGTTAAAAAAAACCATAGTCAAAGCATTGACTTGGGTGATCAAAAAACAAATCAAAGATGAATCCATATTTGTTTTATAACTTGACGAACTAAAAACATAACCAAAATATAAGAGTAGTAACTAATATACTACAGGAGCATTCATATATGGTAAGTTGAGCTGAGTTTGCACTTTGCACACAAAGTATTGACCAAATATGTTTATATCTTTCAAACTACGAAAAACAAGAACCAAGATGGATTTTTTTTTTAATTATGATTGTGATTCTATTTGGTTTTTACGATAAAGCCTATGGGAAGGGTTCTTTAGATATGAATATGAAACTAAGGTGTTGATTGTTTTTTCCGCTCTTACTCCTAACGGTTACTAGAGGGCGTTTGCAATTGTTAGTGTTTGGTATCAATAGTAGAAAATGCTCCGCATCGCTTCAAATCGCTCGAAATAGCTCGAAATCGCTGGATTTCAAAAGCACCTTCCAGCAAGCGTTTGCGATTGCGGACGGTTGCGATTGGTTTAAAAAATGAAAGTATTTAAAAGTGGAAAATTTATAAACTAAAATATACATTATCAAATCCTATATATTCACATTAATTCTCAAACAAAATTTATTCTTTAAATTTAATTTTCCAATAATATCATTTATCTGTATATAGCATTTCTTCTTTGCTTTTTCTTCCATAGAGCACTTGTCTTCCTCTTCTTCTTCTACTTCTTCTAATAAATTATTTTGAGTTTTCTCTTTTGCAGGTTTAATCAAAGAATTCAACTCCAACACATTCTGCCTAATTAAACCGTAGGAGAAATGTAGTCAAATACTATGTCACAAAAAGAGTTCCTAGAAAACAGTTATACGAGTTTCTAGCTTTTAAATGAGGGGACCAATGACTCTTGGAATTGGAGAAGTTTACTACGTTTAAGGCCTCTAGCAGAGAGATTCCTGAGATGCAAAGTGGGAAACGGGACTACTATAAGCTGTAAGGCAGAGGGAAGATCTCAAGAGCTGGGCTCAATCCATCTGGTTCAAAGGGGCTACTCCAAAGAATGCTTTCACCATGTGGATTTGCCACCTAGATAGGCTGCCAACGCGACCTAGACTGGGGCATGCAAATCTCTCCTCTCTGGTATCTGCTCGATTGTTAGCTTTGTGTTGATCTTTTGCTTCCTTCTTTTTACCTTTTATTGCCAAGAAACCAAACTCTTTTTTTTATATATATGAATATTTACTGCTTTAGCAAAAAAAATATATATAATAATTTAGGCGGACTAAGAGACCTTTAGGTCAAAATTATAGGGATACTAGCAGTTGACCCGCGCTCCGCGCGGGAGGTTTATAATTTTGTTTCGTTGAGTTTTTATTCATATTGTGATATTTTATTATATTACGAATTGATTTTCAAAAAATATTATAATTATTTTCTCTTTAATTATTATCTTTCAATACTCAAATTTGGATTAAAAGCATTTGATTCAATTTATGAAATATCATTTTTTTCTTTTTGATCATGTTATAAACTAATATTTCACTTTCATTTTATTTTTCCTGTTTATAATTTTATATATACAATTACATAAATGTTGTTTTAGTCTACCATAAATTTTTACTTTCATTCTAAAACTCAGTAACATATTTAAAATATTAAATTATGATCAATTTAAAATGAAAGTTGAATTATATTATTACCACTAATAAAAAAATAAAGTATTGTTTTTCTTATTTTAACATTTCATTTTTTTACATAATTTATTTTTATTTATATAAACTTTCTATTAATTAAATAAGTAACATAAATATGCACTAAATGAAATGTTTTAAATTTATTTTAATGTACAACAAAAATGTGGCTTATGTGGATGCTTATGTGGCATCATGAGAAGAGAGAAAAAACTAACTTTATATATATAGATTTTACACCCATAAGTATTTATATAAGATATTTTTTAAAGAAAAAATAGGGATGTAAGATACCCCTATAATCTTGCTCTAATTAAATTATATGATTTTTAGTCAGCTTTGGAAAATTCTGTGGTGATGAAGAAAGTAACCAAAATGAGAAATTCCGTTATATATATCTCAAGTGCAAAAATATGAAACGAATCGCATTGAACTTCTAATAAATTTGTTAATTCTTATCTTATATCAAAAATTTAAAAGTATTAACAAAGAAAAGTATAGGGAAACGTGAGTCAAAGTTTGTTGAAATTAAACAAACAGGTCAGTCAAAGGATTTATTTGGTGCAAAAAAAGAAGCCAGAGGAGAATCCAAATAGGTTGACTTAAACTTAAAAGCAAAATACAATATTCTTACCAAAAAAAAAAACCAAAAAAAAATATAGGAATAGTAATTACAGAACATTCGTATTAGGTAAGTTAAGTTATTGCACAAAGATTTGACTTGAACATTTGTCAAATATGATGAGGTTTCCGTTTTTTTCAATATTTGTATGTAAGTAAATAATGTAATTCATTACATCATTTGGTTTGATAAACTCTATAAGTATGAAAGTTCAAGATTCCTTCAACCTAGGAAACAACAAGGAAAGCACAATGAGATTGTTCTTAGTGTTTTTTGTGATTCTATTTGGCTTTTACAATGAAGCCTGTGGAAAAGGTTCTTTAGATATCGATATGAAACTGAAGGCTCTTAACAAGCCTCCGTTGAAGACTATCAAGGTACTGACAACATCTTTTGTATCTCTTCTTTGGTTTATAATGATGAGTTCCCAAATCAATTGTACATAATTTGTAGAGTCAAGACGGAGATATAATAGATTGTATCGATATCTACAAACAACATGCCTTTGATCATCCCGCTTTAAAGAACCACAAGATTCAGGTAAAAACAAATTCAAATTACTTACAAGTTAAATTTTGCTTTGAACAACCTAAGTACGGTACAGTTTTATAATATTTGCCCATATTACATTTATGCATGCAGATGAAACCGAGTATGGAGTTTGAGGCAAAGACAACCACTATTCAAAACAACCGTTCCGATGAACAGATA